ACTAGCCACATTTGGGTAACAGCTGCAGTGGGTAGCCTGAGGTCACCCTGTTTGTCGTCCAGCTGAAAGAGGTTGCCCAACTCAGTCTCTGCAGCTGCAGCAGAGCACAGAGGAAGTGTTCTAGGGCTGCCAAGCAACAGACATTAGCTTCCTGTGCATCTAGTAGGCACAGAGAAAGGAGAAAGAGGGGGACAAGCTTTGGTTTGTTTTGCGGTAATTTGGGAAATTCCCATTGGAGCCAAGAGCAGCCTTGGAATATGAAACTCTTGTGCCCAAAGTAAGAATGATGCAATTCCTGCAAACTTTCTGGACCATATTGAATAGGCTATTCATTAGTGTTCTACTTTGCCCTGCAATTCTTTCTAAGTGTTGTTAGAAGAATAACAAGTTTCTTAATCTACTATGGATAAGAATTAACAGATATGATATGAAGCAGGGAACTACATTTATGGAATTAGAAAACAGAATGTTGCACTAGGAGTGAGAAAACTTGTGGGCGTGTCTCTGACTCTTTGGGCCTCAGTTTCTCTGTCTGATAAGTATAGGAGTTAAACTAGAATTCTTCTAGTACATAATGATTCCAAGTCATGCAGCCTACTGGACCAGGAAGCTATAGTCGGCCTCAGCCTGTTTTTTGTACAGTCTGCATGAACCACTGCAGTGGAGTGGGTTGGCACTATGAGCCTCAGAAACCAAGCCAGGTGTCCTCTTCCACCCATTCCCCTACTGCTTCCAATGCCTGCCTCCCTGGCCCTTGCCTGGCTAGAGTCCATGTTGTTCACCACTTACACATTGGGGATTCTGCTGCTGGCAAACGCTAGTCACCAAGTGCTGAAGTTTCACTCCAGGAATCTCAGTCGGTCCAAGTTGAGAGCCAGGCTTGCTAGGAGGAGAGAAGGGTGCCAGGATCTGAGTGTTACAGGGGCAAAGAGTTAATTGATCATGCCAGCAGCCCCTCTTCTTCCTGTCCCACCCATCAACCCTCTACCGGCAAGTAGCTAAAGATGAGTGAAGAAAACTAGAGAGCAAGGAAACAATTAGTCCAAAGGACTAATAAACTACATGAACTCCAGCCTCCATATCCTTGAGACCAGATGAACTAGATGGTGTCCACCTACCTTTTCTGACCACTCTGAAAGGGATCACAGTAGGAGGTCCTGGACCGAGTGGGAGAAAAATGTAGAACAAAACTCAGATTCATAAAAAAGGCCAGGGTTACTGATCTGACAAAGACTGATGGAACCTCCAAGATTATTGCCTTTAGACACCCTTCAAGCCAGGAACTGAACTCAAGCCCCATGGCTCAACTTTCACCTAGATGATAGACCTATAAGGTGAACAGTGATACCAGGAGAACACGCACTCATTAGAACAACCAGCCATACAAGATCAAGAAGGCAGCATTTGCCCAGGGATAGAGCTAGGAGCTCTGGTAGCATAGTGCCTAAGGCACTTAACTGCTAACCAGAAGGCTGGTGGTTCAAACCGACCAGCCACCCCTCAGAAGGAAGGTGGGGCTATCTAATTCCGTAGTGATACCGTCTTGGAAACCCAAGGAGGGGTTGCTATGAGTCTCAACAGCACATAACAACAACAAGAGCTAGGAAGGCAGGAGGAGATGAGAAGGGAGGTCAAAGGGAAGTGGTGGGTGCAGGGAAGAAGAGGAAAGACTGTTGTTGCATGGTGGGAATTACAGTGAATGTCACAAAACAGAATGGATGTGGATAGTTGAATGAAAAATCTATTTGCTCTGTAAACTTTCACCCAAATTACAAATTTTTAAATTTTAAAATAGGGAGCAAAATTAGAATATGGTATTATGGGTTTAATTGTCCCTCCCCCCCAAAAATAATATGAGTTGGAATCCTAACTGCTATTTAAAAAAAAAAAAAATACCCAAACTCACTGCCATTGAGTAGATTCGACTCATAGTGACCCCTCCTTGGGTTTCTGAAGTGGTATCTTTACAGAAATAGATTGCCCAATCTCCCTTCCAAGGAATGTCTTCTGAGTTTTAATTACCAGCCTTCTGGTTAGCAGCCAAAGGCCTTACCCACTACACCACCAGAGCTCCTTTCTGTTATGGCTGTGTTTGTGTTGTGTTATGTGCCTTCGAATTGGACCCGACTCATAGAGACCCTTCCTTGGGTTTCCAAGGCAGTATCACTATGGAAGTAGGTTGCCCAACCTTCCTCAGCACTAGATAATTAAGACAGACCTCATTTGACCAAAGTCTAAATAACTTCCAGTTATTATTGTAGCTTTATTCTGAAGGATTATTTAGAGACATGAAAGCCCCTCTGAGTTTTTCATATTGGAGATAAACAGAGACCATTTTCTACATGTGTCTAGTACTTCCTAAGTACCCAGGTGGTGCAAATGGTTAAGTGTTTGATTACCAAAATGTTGGCAGTTCACCCAGAGGCACTTCGGAAGAAAGGCCTGGTGATCTGTTGTTGTTGTTAGGTGCCATCTAGTCAGTTCTGACACACAGAGACCTTGGGGGTAACAGAACAAACCACTGCATGAGCCTCTGCCATAGTCACAACTGTTGCTGTGTTTGAGCCCATTTCATAGCCAATGTGTCAATACAGTCAGATTACTGTGAGCCGGAATTGACTCAATGGCAATGGGTCTGGTGATCTACTTCCTAAAAATCAACCACTGAAATCCCTACAGAGCACAGTTCTATTCACACGCATGAGGTCACCATGAGTCAGAACCAAATCCACAGCAACTGGTTACTGATTCATAGTTTGAAAGTGCTTTCACAGTCAGACTAATTTTTTTTTCACCAAGACAGGAATTATTCTTCCCATATTATATGTTATAAAACAATACTCAGAGGTGAAAATGGTTTTCCCAAGTTCACATGGCAAGAAAGTGCCAAAACTGTTCACCCAGATTTGATAATATCCTATGTTGGCAAAGCAATGAGGAGATGGGAACTCTCAAACACTTGTGGTGAGAGTATAAATTAGTCCAGCTTTTCACAAGGGCTCCTTGTCAATATTTATTAAATGTGGTTACTCTTTGACCGGACAGTTCAACTTTTGGGTCTCTGTCTTAGCCTGAGCTCTCCTTAGAAAGCAGAGCCTAATATAAGATCTCACAGGCAGGGAGCCTACATTAAGAAGTGATCCCAGTGAACTGGGGTGAGTTCTAGGCTGAAAAGAGTGAAACAGGAGGAAAGAAAGTCAGCACAAGGTACATTACCAAGGTGATCACTATTGTGTACCACTAGGGCTTGATTCTTCTGGAACCCTCTGAGAAGCCATGAAAAATGCCTGTAGGATAGAAGAGGGGAAAATTTATTCACAAAGCTTCCACCCTACATTGGTCAAAGTTTGCCCCATAGGATGTTAACTCTTTCACACTTCCATGTTTGTCAAGTAGATTCCCAGAGGTATCCCAAGGATGTATTTGTATATTGTTAACTAAACCCCAAAACAAAACTCACTGCTGTTGAGTCGGTTCCAACTTGTAGTGAACCCTCCTTGGGTTTCCGAGGCAGTATCTCTATGGAAGTAGATTGCCCACTCTTCCTTCTGAGGAGTGGCTGGTGGGTTTGACCTGCCAACCTTCTGGTTAGGAGTCAATGCCTTAGGCAATATACCACCAGGACTCCCTATTATTAGCTGTATGGTTAAAAATGAAAAGATTAGGAGAGATGGAGAGATAAAGGAAGATACAACACTTAGGGGACACTGTGCTTCTGTTAAGGGTGATAGAAAAAGTCAGAAATGGTGATGGTTGAACAACATGATGAACGTATTTATTGGCACTGAACTGTACATGTGAAGATTGTTGAAATGTCAAATGTTTTGTTACCTATGTATTTGCCACACACAAAAAAAAGTTAGTGAGTAGTCCATGATAAACACTAAATAAAAGTTTAGCATGATTATTACTATTATTATCACCACTACTGTCAGCCTCAGTGAATGGACCCAATGCATGGCAATGTTATTAAAGCCCGAATGCTACCCAGAGGTGGGAGGAAAAAAGATTGGAAGAGAGTTTGGGACTGGGGACTGGAGCCGTCACTGGAACACAGAGTCAAGTCTAATTGCAGAGTCTTGCAAATGGGATTCTATGGAACTGGAATTAAAGGGAATAGAATCCAGGCCCTGAAGGTGGGGAGAGGGGGCTGGTAGGCAATAGGCAAGGTGTTTTTGTTTTCTGTCACAGAATACTTTAGGTATCTCACAGCAATTCCACTCCTAGGTATATACTTGAAAGAAGTGACAGGAGGGACTCAAATAGACACTTGTACCGCAACGTTCAATGCAGCATTATCACTATACTCAAAGGATGTAAATAAACAACCCAAGAGTCTATCAACAGATAAAAGGATAAACAAAATGTGGTATATCCATACAATGGAATATTATTCTACTACAAAAGAAGATCAAGTTCTAATACATGTTACAACATGAACCACCTTGAAAATAACATGCTAAGTGAAATAAATCAGACACAAAAGGACAAGTATCTTATGATTCCACTTATATGAAAAATCCAGAACAGGCAAATGCATACAGACCAAAGTAGATTAGCGGTTACCAGGGGCCGGAGAGAGAGAAGAATGGAAAGTTATTGCTTAATAGGTAGTGTTTCTGTTTAGAGTGATGAAAAAGTTTTCGAAATAGTGGTGATGGTTGCACAATATTTTAAATGTAATTAATGTCACTGACTTGTACACTTAAAAATGGTTAGAGGGGAAATATATTTTTTTCCACAACAAAATTTAATGTAAAAAACAGAAAACGTGCCCAATTGCCTTCAGTCAGCTGACTCCCTAACACGCTGGGATGCTGGCTGTAGGTGGGCGGCTAACGCGGAATTCCAGTGCGCACGCGCACTTCCACCGGCGCACACCTCCCCACCCCCCCAATTCAGATACCTTACGTCAAACTCTACGTTAAAGAGGGCGAGGAAAACGCGGATCTCTGATCACGTGACGCAGCGGGAGTGTCGTTGACTCCTCCCTCTCCAAGATGGCGTCCTTGCTGCAGTCGGAGCGGGTTCTCTACCTAGTCCAGGGAGAAAAGAAGGTTCGGGCCCCGCTCTCGCAGCTTTACTTCTGCCGCTATTGTAGCGAGCTGCGGTCGCTGGAATGTGTATCTCACGAGGTAACGAGTCCCGTGAAGGATGTGTGTGTGTTGGGTGGGGGGGCATTCATCCTAGTCACTGCGACCGGCGAGGAAGTTCCGCCTCTTGGAGGCCAGTAGTCATTTTCCCAGCTTGTTGATTGGCTATGTCTTCTGTTCTTCATATTTGTCTGCGATTTAATTTGCTTACAGTTTGTCACTTGGAGAGGAGGGGCGGCCTCGGGTGGGTCTGAGCGGATCTTTTAGTTCTAGAACGTCTTCTGATTGGACAAACTTGACTGCGGGGGGGGGGCGACCCTGACCGTCGCCTGGGTGGCTTGGGGAGAAAGAGCTGTTCAGGCCACTTGAGAAACAAGACACCTTGCTGGGATTGATTTAGGAGGCGAGGGCATGCAGCATTCTCATTCATGATTCGCTCATCATGCAAGTTCTGCCCCTACTTTGACCAGAAACGGAGTCCGCATCAGATTGCTTTGCCAGCTTCCTGGCGCAGGCCCGCGCCTACAAGAGGGAAGGGTTGGGGTGGGGTGCACGGAGTGAAAAGCGTTTACAATAGGGTATGTCATGTGTGAAGCGCAAAATGTTAAATTCGTTGCGTTTATCCCAAAGGTGCAGTGCTGTCCCTCACAGGCACAGTGGGAATTGCAGATGGGATTGCCCAAAATGTAGCTCTCCAGGACGACTACCACACCAAAATCCACAAATAACAGAACCCCCAAATTTCTGCAGCGTTTTGCACATCTTGTTCTATTCGATGAGCTTTGGGATTAAAAGAATAGGGCATACACCTTGCTATTGAGTAATGAAAGAGAAGCTGACAGTAATAACAACCAAAACCAAACCCACTGGCAGCAAGTTGATTCTGACTATAGCACCCCTATAGGACAGAGTGAAACTGCTCCACAGGATTTCCAAGGTTATAAATCTTTAGGGAAGCAGACTGCCTCATCTTTTTCCAGGGAGTGGCTGGTGGGTTCCAACCACTGACCTTTTTTGGTAGGTAGCCGAATAAGTTAACCACTGTGCCATCAGGGCACCTTGACAGTAATAATAGTTACTGTTTGTTCAGTACCTTCTATGCAATCCTTCCTACAAACTAATGAAATGGGTATTTAAAAACAAAACACTGTATTACGGGTAAAGAAACAAACACGAGTGCTTGTCCTAGGTTACAGAATGGGAATTTGGGGATATAGAGAGCATCAGGATTTGAACCTCAACAGCCTGACTCCAAGTACTTTACTGAAGTTCCCTGGACTCTTAAAATGTATATAAAAACATGTTCTGTCCTGCAAGCCATTTTACACTAATCATTTTTATTTTATTTGGAATATTTCTCATAATATTAAGAATAATCAGAAAAAGCAATGAAATAATACAAGAGAAATCAATGCCACATATGGCAATATCTCATATTTATGTTTGTGT